TGCACTATTGTATTTACCGCTTGCTCAGCTTAATAGGCCACAGCAATTGGATATGTAATCTAGGGGTCACAGGTCTGATCCTTGAGAGAGGCGAAAATTTTTTTTCTGTGACTGTTTGATCCTGAACATTAAGTGGTAATATGGTCATTTGTTCTGTCATTGCTGATTAAAGATATCTTGGATATATTTAAGTAGGTTAACTTGCTGGAATATGGGTAAATAACTGGTTTTAGTTATCCAGGAAAGCCTGTTAGATGGACTCCTTGCAAAGATATGAGCAAAAAAGGTGTTAAAATGATAAATCAACATAAAAAGTAGAAAATCTTAATCAAAATCTATATAATTATAACCCTCCAAAATATGAAATGACCCATCCTCTTTGAACTATGATGAAAGTTGTGTGCCCCTTGATCCCTGTATAATTTCGTGACTTTGTGGCCTGTATTTTCTGACCCGTAGCCATTCTAGTAAAGCCTGTTGAGGACAGATTTGACTTAAGGGATAATGAATGTTTTTATCTGGGCAAGATTCAACACCCAGTACTGTTAAGTTACAAGTGAAGTGTTACAATATATAGTAAACTTTGATCACAGTAATAACTTAGGTGGTTAAAATTTATAATGTAGTTTATATATTTGACCCTAGTTTAACTTTACTAGGTGAAAATGCTTCCTTGTTGGATTTAAATGGTAACATCCCTGTTCAATTAGAAAAAAAAAAACAACGAATATTTTACCACAATCATGTTAGATGTTTAATTTTATACATATAGAAAATGTTTTAATTCTCCATCTAAAAAAATTTCACCATTACTTTGTTATGCACCTGGTCGTCCGTTGGTCTGTTAGCAGTTTTCGTTGCCGGTCTATATCCTTTGAACTGGTTGAAGGAACTTGAAACTATTTGGCAAAAAGTAATATCATAAGGATCATTGTACAGACATGTTTCTTGATTGGGTCTTTACCTTTACTGAAAGATTTTGATTACTCAAAAAACAAAAAAAACAAAACATTTGGGCGTATATTGCACAGCCTTTGCTGTGCTCTTGTTTGAATAATATAATTGCTAGCAAGATTTTCATTCATTAATTCTTTAGAATTAAGCTAGATCTACTTCCAAGGTCGCCATGTTATATGAATGGTATTTTACTGTGAGAGTGAGCTAGAGCTAATTATGTTTTCCTCTTTTTGAATGCACTTGGAATAGTCCAATATCAGTTTTTGGAACAGTCTAATATCAGTTTTTGAAACAGTCCAGTATCAGTTTTTGGAAAAGTCCAATATCAGTTTTTGGAACAGTCCAATATCAGTTTTTGGAACACTCAACAGTCTAATATCAGTTTTTGGAACAGTCCAATATTAGTTTTTGGAACAGTGTAATATCAGCTTTTGGAACAGTCCAATATCATATTTTGGACAATAGGAAAAGAAATTTCATTCTTGTTGCTATAATAGTTGTAAAATAAATGTATTTTTATGTTTCAGGGATGGAGAAGAAGTTTATTATAGAGCCTCAGCCACAGACCGTGCCTATTGGCGGTGTAGCCAGGTTCCAGTGCCAAATTCAGGCCATTCCACCGGCCATGTACGAATGGCAGCGCGATAAAACTGTTCTACCTCAAAATGATAGGTATGTTTCTTTAATTATATACTTATATGTGCATTGGTCTACTTTAATAGGCAAAATTGATAGATATATTCAGCATTTATATATATGTAAATTAAATTATATACTTATATGTATGTCGTATTCTCAGGCAAAATTTAAATTATATTAAATATGGTATGAGGTATTCTCGGGCAATTTATGGGGTATTCCTCAGACCAGGGTCCATGCGGGTGGTGGGGGGGGGGGGGGGGGAAAGAGGGCGGTGGTAGGAAGGAAGGGAATTTGCATGATTTTCAAATATTTTTCATTCATTGAAGAATTTCAACAGAAGAAAATTATGTACATATTGTATTTGTAAAATATGGTAGAGTGATAACTGCACTTTCCAATTTTAATTCCAATTGTTATTTTAGCGATTATTTCATTCATGACTCGTGTTACGTCTTGTATTAAATCTTAAAGTCATTGATATTTGAAGTTTATTTCTCTGTGACTGTCATATATTTTATTGTACTAGGAAATATTAACCTATGGTTTAGTAATGAATGATTTATGAATAAAAAGGCGGGGTGGGGGGGGGGTTAAAATTAAAAAGGTGAAGCTTTGAGGCTTAGATAATGATTGATATTTTGTCAAAACAAATGGGCTTAAAGAGCTCTTCAGAATGATTTAAGTGTCAGATTATGTAACACTTGTTTTAACAAAGATTTAGATCTATGCTAGGCTCCGATTGTAAATTCCAACCATAAACCCCTTACCACTTTTAATCCTTTCCCTCATGAGCATAAAATTTTTAATTATTGTGAAAAATGGCCGTTTTCACTGAAAAGCCTCCTGTTACAAGTTCAAACTGCTATGAAACTATGAAAAATGCTTCAATACTAATCAAACTTGGCACAATTGTTGACTTGACCATTGCCTTTGTAACAACATGCTCAGTCTTAAATTTCCTGTTACCATGGCAACAAGGGGACATCTCAAAATTGCCAAAAATCACTATTTTGCCTCGATTTTTTCCATCAAAATTGATTTCAAAGTGCTGCAACTTCTCAAGGGATTGAGATAGAGTCAAAGGCTTTTCAGTGTTGGTTACACGTTACCTTATGATCGACCTGGGGTCATTTTTAGCCTCTCACAAGTCCAAAATTTTCTTGGCGATGAGGGCGACTCCTTCAAACCCCCCAAACAGAATGGGGCACATCCCCCTTCTGGCAACCCCCTGATGTATCTTTTGTATGTGGGGGGTGGCGCCGAAAGAGTGCTAACTTTTTTTAGCAACATTTCTCAAATGAAAACATGTGTTTGGGGCCCAAATAGGACAATTTTTCACTATTTCAGGACTAAAAGGGGGGGGGGGGTCGAAAGTGCGTTGTTTCCGTATATTATGAGGTAAAGGGTTAATGATAAAAATGGTCATCTGGTCATAAAAATTCATCAATAAAAGGGGAAAACTTGAAAGTATTTACTGACTGACATAGATCTACTCTTTGGTAAGCTGTACTGCTAATGTGGCCATACTGAAGGTCAAGGTTACTGTGACCAAAACAGTCTACTGCATTTATATATGTATTTCATAATTCAGCATTTATATATGCATAACTACGTCTGAATTTCATAATTCAGCAGTTATATATGCATAATTACTTCGAAATTTCATACTTCAGCATTTGTATACGCTTAAATATATGTACTTCTGAATTTCATATAAATTCAGCTTCATATAATTATGCATAAATACTTCTGAATTTCATTATTCAGAATTTATATAATTACTTCTGAATTTCATATCATATTTCAGCATATATATAAATGCATAATTACTTCTGAATTTCATTTCATAATTCATCATTTATATATGCAGAATTTCTTCTGAATTTCATTTCATAATTCATCATTTATATATGCAGAATTACTTCTAAATTTCACAAATTCAGCATTTATTTATGAATAATTACCTCTGAATTTCATTATGCATCATTTATATAATCACACAACTGAATTTCATAATTCAGCATTTGTATAATTACTTCTGAATTTCATAATTCAGCATTTATATATAGTAATAATACATGATTACTTCTGAATTTCAGGTATTTAGTATTAAACTCAGGTATATTACAAATCACGGGTGTCATAGAAACAGATGCGGGTGTCTATAGATGTTACGCTACTCAGGGTCTACTGCACGAATTACCAGGTCATGATATTGATGTCAAATACAGCGAAGAAGCGGAATTAACAGTCGTACCGGGTACGTATTTTTTCTAGGGTAGCAATTTGTATTGCTATATATTATAAGTTATAAAGATCTTTGACAGGTTATATGGGGTATATAAATAGTTGTTTGTTTTATATAACCGAGCTGAACCGGGTATATGTTATTTCTAGGTTCGCAACTCGTATTGCTATATATTATAAAGATCGTAACAGGTTATATGGCCATATATCAAAGGTTGTTTGTAATTATATAACCTGAGCGGTACCGGGTATATGTTATTTCTAGGGTCGCAACTCGTATTGCTTCATATTATAAAGATCGTGACAGGTTATATGGCCATATGTCAAAGGTTGCTTGTAATTATATAACCCGAGTGGTACCAGGTATGTGTTATTTCTAGGGTCACAACTCGTATTGCTATATAGTATTAATTATAAAGATCTGACAGGTTATAGTGGACTGCTTCCCCAATGAAAATTTCTTTAAAATCATGCAGTTTTCCCCAAAAACTGAATTTACATCAAGCTTTTTCGTCCCCTTTTGCAACTATTCCAAGTAATTTTTCCCCAAAATTAAGGGCAGGGTTGCTTCTCCAACCTGTAAAGAAATGCATTGGAACTGGATTGAATGCAGATGTAAAGTGCTGTCACAAACTATTGGCAAGTGAATGATTGAAACCCTGTTTCGAAACAGGCTAAGTATAATAATAAAAAGCAAACAACAAAAGAAATAAAACTATTTTTGTCTTTCATTTCAGATCGTGTCGGCAAGGAGATCAAGATATTCTCAAGTACGAAGAATACGACAGTCCTTGTAAGAAAACCGGCGCTTCTTGAATGCCTCGTTCAGGGTTACACTGGTAAAGTTGAATGGAGGAAGGGGGACAACAGTGAGTCCTTTCATTATTATCTGAAAAATGTTATTATATATATAGTGATGTAAAACAGTGTTACAGTGACATAAAACAGTGTCACAATGACATAAAAAACCTGTCACAGTGATATAAATCAGTGTGACATGTGATAATAAACAGTGTCACAGTGACATTGAACAGTGACAAAGTGACATAAAACAGTGTCATAGTGACATAAGACAGTGTCAAAGTGACATAAAACAGTGTCATAGTGACATAAAACACTGTCAAAATGATATAAAACAGTGTCACAGTGACATAAAACAGTGTCACAGTGACCTAAAACAGTGTCACAGTGACATAAAAAACCTGTCACAGTGATAATAAACAGTGTCACAGTGACATTGAACAGTGACAAAGTGACATAAAACAGTGTCATAGTGACAAAAAACAGTGTCATAGTGATATAAAATAGTGACACCGTGACATAAAACAGTGTCACAGTAAAATAAAAACAGTGTCCAAAGGTGACATAAAACAGTGTCACAGTAAAATAAAAACAGTGTCCAAAGGTGACATAAAACAGTGTCACAGTGACTTAAAACAGTGTCACAGTGACGTAAAACACTGTCAAAATGATATAAAACAGTGTCATAGTGACAAAAAACAGTGTCATAGTGATATAAAATAGTGACACCGTGACATAAAACAGTGTCACAGTGACATTAAACAGTGTCAAAGTGATATGAAACAGTGTCATAGTGACATAAAAAAAGTGTCTCAGTGACATAGAACAGTGTTACAGTGACATCAAGAAGTGTCTCAGTGAAAAAAAACAGTGATATAAAACAATGTCAATAAGATATGAGACAGTGACATGAAAAGGGGTCTAAATGACATAAAATTGTGTTTCAGTGACATAAAACAGTGCTAATTGACATAGAACAGTGTGACAGTGACATAAAACAGTTTCACAGTGACATAAAACAGTTTCACAGTGACATAAAACAGTGTCAAAGTGACATAAAACAGTGTCAGAGTGACATAAAACAGTGTCACAGTGACATGAAAAAAAATTGATATATAATAAGGAAAGAAAAAAATCTTAAATTAGTCTCAAACAAACAAGTTTGGATTTTTGTTCATTTCAATCCTGAAAATGAAGAAACATTATATTATATTATAATTAGATTTAAAATTATCAGTGGATTTTTTTTTTGTAATTTATCTTTTGTTGGAAGAAACCTGTCCTCTCACAATCGAAAGAATGTTGTAGTCTTGGAGTAATTGGAGAAAAGAGAAAAAAAAACTGGTATTGAAAGAAATTGGAGATGGGGGGGGGATAAGTTTGATTTAGTGCTGTATTTTCTCCTGATATTTTAAAATAGACATTTTCTATATGAATACTTAAAAAAAAAACAAAAAAAAAATATTTATCTAAATTAGTCATAAATTTGTTTTTTTTTTTTTCATGTTTGTTATGAAATATTTACATAGCCTTGAGTTATTAGAAATGCTATCATGTGACGAAACATCATTGAGATACATTTACAATTTGATAACGATTAGTTTCCAGAATAACAATTCTAAATTTAAGCATTAGCATAGAAGGTTATAAACAAAAATCGGGCTAAGTATTGCATAAACAGCATATGTAGTCTAACTTGCCCATGCGATCACTTGTATTAGCGACTTTTGTCTTTAGCGACCACTGTAACTTTTCCCCCTATTGATCTATCCGAGAATTTCACATTTTATGTTTGTAATTTTAGGATTTTGAACCTCCAAGGTGCAGCTTCTTTAAGAGTTTAAACATTATTATCTAATTGTATTATTTATATTTTTAGAACAACTGGTCAAAGAAAGCAGCCGTATAGAGCGAATCGGGAACAATCTCCGTTTTGTCGAGACGGAAAAATCAGATAGCGGAAAATATGAATGTGTCGCCGGGAACGTAAGATCCCCGATGATGCTTAATGTAATAAGTAAGTATGTTTGTTTGCCTACATTTCCTTATTATTGAAGATTATGTCTAGAGTGGTCTGTATTTGCAGGTTGGTCTTTATTTGAAAATGATCTTTTACACAGGTTGGACTGTTTTTTTTTGCTTGTCTATAAGCTTTAAAAAGTTTCTCTTAAAATGATGGTTTTGTATAGGTTAAGGTAGTGTTACTGTAAATGTTTTCGTGCCAAAAAATTCTAACATTGGATAATAGCGTAGCGAATCTGTTATTTCCATAACGATATGTTATCAAAATCTTGGGTATTAGATTATTTACAATCACTCATTCCTTATTGATATGTACTAAATTCAGGTTATAAACGGTTAAGATTTATTGAATACCGAAAATTGTGAAAAATAACTTTCTGGAAAAGACCGATTTTTTTCGACAATGTCGGATGTTAGAATCTTTTTGGCGGGCAAGCATTAAAGTAAGACTACCTTATTGGCTGACTACCTTATTGGCTGACTACCTTATTGGCTGACTACCTTATTGGCTGATGTTAGAAGAAATTTTTAGCGGGCAAGCATTAAAGTAACACTACCTTATTGGCTGACTACCTTATTGGCTGACTACCTTATTGGCTGATGTTAGAAGAAATTTTTAGCGGGCAAGCATTAAAGTAACACTACCTTATTGGCTGACTACCTTATTGGCTGACTACCTTATTGGCTGATGTTAGAAGAAATTTTTAGCGGGCAAGCATTAAAGTAACACTACCTTATTGGCTGACTACCTTATTGGCTGACTACCTTATTGGCTGATGTTAGAAGAAATTTTTAGCGGGCAAGCATTACAGTAAGGCTACCTTAAAAGCTGTATATTATGTCTGTATATTAAGATATTTGATTTGGTAAAGATCATGAAAAAATTAATTTGTTCGGCTTTGTTTCAACAGGAAAGCCGGTGATAACGGATCTTACATCGGGTCAGAGAGTTCCGATGGCACAGTGGATCTACATGGAGTGTCACGCTGATGGTGATCCCAAACCAAGAATTACATGGTATAAAGATGGCGAGAAAATTGATTTTAACAACAATTATAACTACAAGGTACGTGAAGTCGGGGTCCAGCCAATGAATTGAGTCCATGCTACAGTTATCAGAGGTTGTAATTATAATGTAGTATCAAGAATGTTCAGTATTTGTAGCTTACAGTACGCTCAGCGCGACTTTTTCAAAACCCGCGTGACCCCGCGGATGAGGTTTACCGCGGACGAAAATTTGCTCAGATATTGTCCGCGTGACCCCGCGGACAGAAAATTTTCACCACCGCGGACATAAATCGGCGGCTGAAACCGTTTCCCCCGCGGAACGCAGTGGTAAATTGCGGAGGAACGCGGCGGTCAAACACCGGTCAACGCGGTGGAAACCTTAAATTTTAAAAATTAATTACTGTATTTAAACATCAGTATACGTACGTACATGTACTGTAACATGTACTGTACATATACATGTAACTATATGTAAAATTTGTTTGTTTTCTTTCTTTTTTGTTGTAATAAAAGTACATGTACAAATGCAGTGTTTTTCTTGTTGTTCTTCTTCTTGTTATTGTGTTGGGTAGTGTATATGTATATATGTATTCGACATCAAGATAAATCATTGTCGTCGCAGCTTCATGGTAGTGAGAAACTTGAAGTCAAATAATGAAAAATTCGGCATATGACATTTATGAAAAAGATACTACAACAATTTATATGCCAGCTTTTGTTTCTTATTTAAAAACTTTGAAAACGTAACCCTCAACAATTTTATTCAGGCAATATTCCAGGACGTCTCCTTCAATTGTCAGATGCGTTTTACTGTTTCTGTTACAGGTGTGAGCGTAATGTATATGTTTTGAAGTTTGTATCAACTGTTGAAGTTTATTTTCATTTTTAGCTCACCTGTCACAAAGTGACAGGGTGAGCTTTTGTGATCGCTTTTCGTCCGGCGTCCGTCCGTCCGTCCGTCCGTCGTCCGTCTGTCGTCCGTCGTCCGTCCGTAAACTTTTGCTTTAAATGACATCTCCTCATAAACCACTGAGCCAATTTCATCCAAACTTCACAGGAATGTTCCTTTGGTGGTCACCTTTAAAAATTGTTCAAAGAATTTAATTCCATGCAGAACTCTGGTTGCCATGGCAACCGAAAGAAAAATCTTTAAATATCTTCTTTTAAACAACCCTAAGAGCTAAGAGCTTAAGATATTTGGCATGAAACATCTTCTAATGAGTGTCTACCAAATTTGTTCAAATAAAAGCCCTGGGGTCAAAATTGGCCCCGCCCCAGGGGTCATTGATTTTACCTATAATGCATATAGTAAAAAACTTAAAAAATCTTTTTTTAAAGAACCGTAAGAGCTAGAGCTAAGATATTTGGCATGAAACATCTTCTAGTGAGTATCTACCAAGTTTGTTCAAATAAAAGCCCTGGGGTCCAAATTGGCCCCGCCCCGGGGTCATTGATTTTCCCTATATGCATATAGTAAAAACTTAAAAAATCTTCTTTTAAAGAACCGTAAGAGCTAGATCTAAGATATTTGGCATGAAACATCTTCTAGTGAGTGTCTACCAAGTTTGTTCAAATAAAAGCCCTGGGGTCAAAATTGGCCCCGCCCCGGGGTCATTGATTTTCCCTATATGCATATAGTAAAAGCTTAAAAAATCTTCTTTTAAAGAACCCAAAGAGCTAGATCTAAGATATTTGGCATGAAACATCTTCTAGTGAGTGTCTACCAAGTTTGTTCAAATAAAAGCCCTGTGGTCAAAATTGGCCCCGCCCCGGGGGGTCATTGATTTTCCCTATATGCATATAGTAAAAACTTAAAAAATCTTCTTTTAAAGAACCGTAAGAGCTAGAGCTTAGATATTTGGCATGAAACATCTTCTAGTGAATGTCTACCAAGTTTGTTCAAATAAAAGCACTGGGGTCAAAATTGGCCCCGCCCCAGGGCGTCATTGATTTTCCCTATATGCATTTAGTAAAAACTTAAAAAATCTTCTTTTAAAGAACCCAAAGAGCTAGAGCTAAGATATTTAGCATGAGACATGTTCTAATGGGTGTCTACCAAGTATGTTCAAATAAAAGCCCTGGGGTCAAAACTGGCCCCGCCCCGGGGGTCATTGATTTTCCTTATATGTGTATAGCAAAAACTTGAAAATCTTCTTTGAAAAAACCCAAATAGCTAGAGTTTTTAGATATTAAGCATGAAACATCTTTAAGTAAATATCTACAAAGTTTGTTCAAATAAAAGCCCGTGGGTCAAAACTGGCCCTGTCCGAGGGGTGTCATTGTTTTTAACTATATGTGTATTGTAAAAACTTAAAAAATCTTCTTTTAAAAAACCCAATGAGCTAGAACTTAGATGTTTTGCATGAAACATCTTCTTATGGGTGTCTACCAAGTCTGTTCAAATAAAAGCCCTTGGGTAAAAATTGGCCGGGGGGGGGGGGCTATATGCAGGTGAGCGACCTCAGGGCCATCATGGCCCTCTTGTTGTTTTAGTAGTTTGTTTGCTTGTTCTTTTTTATTTTTTTATAGATTTTTTTTGCAGAATTTTGTTAAACTTGACGTTATACTTTTGTTATTTTATTATGAACAGTATGCATGTACATACATGTATATAAGGCAAACGAGCACATGGCAGTTATTTTCTAAGAACTTCCATCAACCGATTTTCAAGTTAAAAATATTTCATTTTAATTTTATCTTAAGATATTATTGTTCATAGGAATAATAGTATTTGTAGACAACATGTAGTTTTAAGTACATACAATTGAACGTAATTGTCTTTGCTTTCTTGTATTTATTATATTAAGTTTTCATTGAAATTAATTCCGAGGATAAAAATGTAATTTTATAATTTATAAAAGGCAGCCTAATTATTATTTTTTTAATGGGTGCGGAATTTGTTTTTAACGCGTTTGGTGCTTATTATACATCAAGAGCGCTGGAATAATAAACAAGCTTTTCGTTGTCTGTTCAAACAAAGATGCATTTTAGACGTGTGAAAGTCGCATCACATGTGCTTTCTTTAATGTATTATATGTATTGTTTGTTACTATAAATTGAAAATGCTTTGAAGTTCCGAGTTGTTCTCAAAATTACCTAATGGAGCAAATGTTTTTCATTGGCTAGTTAATCTAAATTAAAGATTTATATAAACATATTCGACAGTTATCTCATTCTCAGAAAAAAATCTAGCAATAGCTGTAGTCATAAATTGTCTAAATCATAACTTTCTACACTGTAAAATGTCTTCCTTAAGACAGTCAACGCGACAAGAGTCGCATTTAATGTAAAAAAGATGACGTTAAAAAATAATAAAACGTCTATTATTTTTGGAGGTTAATTTATACTGACCAACTGACCATGGCGTTCCCCCGCGGGAAACGGGTGACTGATTTTATCGATAAATGAAGAACGGTCGTCAGAATTTTGTCCGCGGTGGAAACAACTGAACACCGGGGATCGCGGGGAAATTAGGCTTCTCATCGCGGACGAACCCCCGCGTTTGTCCGCGATAAAAAAAAATCGTCCGCGGTGGTATCGCGGAAAAAGCAAAACCCGCGGTGAGCGTACTGTACTTTACATTATATGCAGAAGGAAAAAAACACAAAATGACATAATTTTATGTAAGCAGTTAATTTTATGTAAAAAGTGAGTTTAAGTTCAATACTGGATTTATTGAATGAATTGAATAAATTTATATTATTCGAGCCTCTGAGTTCAATAAATTAAGTATTGAGCCTACACGAATATAAAATTCTATCTATGGCATACCCAAAATACTGTTCAAAATATAAAAGAATCATTTTCCGTTGATGTACACATGCCTATAGTGTAACGCTAACAATGAGCTTGTCTTTACACTATGTTTGTAAAATGCAAATGACGTCACATGAAGATGTATGCATGGCCGTCCAATACTATTTCTATGGAGTTTTAAAAGCGGCATTTGTATATGAAATAACAAAGTAAGAGTTTAAGTAAACAAATTGTATTGCACAATTATATTTTTTACAGAATCCAAAAGAGAATCAGCTAGCCATTACATTGAGTCAGCAGTATAACTCGGGATATTATCAGTGTGTAGCCAGTAACGAGGCCGGATCAGTGTCGGCACTTACACGAGTACAAGTCTTCAAACAAGGTACGTCATCGTTATTGTTACAAAATATACATATAGTTGTATATATTTTACTTAAGATAGTTATAAAATTTGTCATGGTTTTAACATGTGACATCTATTAGGTTGTCCGACCTCTTAGTTTGATACGGAGAGCATTACATTTATAATCCAGGGGTCACTGGTGCGATCCTGAGGTGAAATTTTTACTCTCAGTCTGACAATTTGTCTCCGACATGGACTGTTATGGTCATTAATGTTGTGTCCAAGGCTGATTCAGAAATCATTAACGATTATTTTCCGGTCACTTGTAGAGTGATGGGTAAAAAATTTGAATCATTGCAAGTGTTCGGGAGTAACCCTGGTAAAATTTGTGTGATTTTATTTTAATTTGAAAAAAAGCAGCATAACATGGCCAAGAAATTCTGCAGGCATCAAAACCATATTTCAACAACTTTAGACATTGTCTAAAATAAAAAATGTCTTAATGAGCCCTGACTGTTTATTTCTTAAGCAACAAATAATATTATTGCTTTTGAATGATTAATTTCCAGGACCGAAACAAAAATTAAATATGGATTAGCTAAATTAAATAGCTGGGCATTATTAACCTCATTGCTATGATTATTTATCACTTACTAATTAGTATTATCTTATTTTTTTCAGAACACTCGCCAAATAAGCCTACAAACTTGACGGCTGTTGACGTGACCAGTACTTCCATTTTGTTGACATGGCAACCAGCTGAGGCAGCCACTAATCATAGAATTCTTGCATATACAGTTCACTATAGAAGGGACGGTGGTATGTTATTTAGTTATGTTATTATGTTTTCATACGAATGTGATATTACTTTCGTTTTCTGATCGAAATAATTCTGGTAAATAGCAAAGGAAATAATTTATAATTTAATTGTTTTGTTATGGAGTTCCAAAAAATTTAGATTTTACAGGACATGTTGATATGCAGCTTTAAATCAATGTCTGCGTATTTCATACACATACTTAATGTGACATTATGATGATATTTTCACTATCAAGTTGAGCTGAATTGACTATATCTATGTCAAAAGATGGACAGTTAAATGGTAATGGACCAACAGTTAATTAAGATAAAATGAGCCGCGTCACGACAAAACCAACACAATGCGTTTGTGACCAGCATGGATCCAGACCAGCCTGCGCATCCGCACAGTCTGATCTTGATCCTTGCTGTTCGCTATCAGTTTCACTACTTGTAATAGTGTTGGTAAGCAAACAGCATTGATCCTGATCAGACTGCGTGGAGTTGCAGGCTGGTCTGGATCCATGCTGGTCCCAAACGCACTATGTTGGTTTTGTCATGACGCGGCTCAAATATAGATCTGTCTTGATCATAAAAAGACTGCCCGACGCTTACTAGTATTATAAATTGAACATTACATATAAATTTCCTTGGTCACCATAAGTTATTTATGTGTGAAGTAAATTATAAAATTGATAGGAAATTATGTAATAATTATGTAAACTTACTTTGACATTCACCTGTTCACTCACTATACACTCTTGGATTGGCATAATGTATTTTATTTGTCGTCATACTATATAAAATCTTATTTCTTTTGTTTATTTCAGGACCTAGAGACGAAGTCGTGACAACTCGGACGGAGATATCTTTGGAAAATTTATCCCCATATTCAAATTACATCATCTATGTAACGGCCTACTCGAGTACAGGCCAGGGTCCAGCCTCAGAAAATCTTGTTGTTAGAACTGCTGAGGACAGTAAGTTCAATCTTTTCTTTTTATGACCAGGGTCAAGCTAGGGTGGTCAAGGTGTTTGACTTCAAATCACTTACTCTTTGTAGCAGTTTGTTCGAATCGGACTAAGATAAAGACTGACTAAGATTCTTTCATGGAATAAAGCTATCCAGCTTGCTTAAAGAAAATTGGTGGTGGTACCTAAAACAATGTATGGAAGCGAGGGATTCGTGTGAAATGTAGAAAAAAAATTTATCATGTTAATTTACAGTCAAATTTTGTTTGCTCGAACTTGGAGCCCCCATGCAAAATTTGTTCGAGAGATCGGTAGTTCAAGCCAACCGAGGTTGAACTATCATCACGTAGGACATACGCCTACAGATTTTCCAGATTACATCGGTCGAATGATAAATATGTCAACATAATTGTTTGTTAGTACATCAGTTTGTCGAATATGTCATTTCTTGTAAATATTAACAAATGAGTATTAACAGTTATTGTTATTTTGTAGAGCCCAGCAGACCGCCTATGGTGACACTCGAGCCTCAAGTTCGAGCCATTGAAGTCACGTGGCAACCGTTGCCGGTAAAGTACAACAATGGGATCATCACACAGTATCAGATCTTCGTGCGACAGAGTGGTTCCCCTTCCACTGAAGTTATAAAGACGGGAATCAGTGGCACCGCTACCTCACATTTGATAACAGGTATTCGTTATTAGATTTGATGCTATGTCTAAATATCGGTACTCAAAATTTTATGCCAGTTTCTTTGCCTAATCATTCTAAAATTAAAGATAGAAGGAATATTTTAAAGAAGTGGTGAATGGACTTTTATAAAAACGCTTGATGTTATTGATGAGCCAAATAAATGACCCACATTTCAGTTGTGTAAGTATATGAAAACTTAATTGATTTTGGTCAACACTTTTTTTGCTATTCAGTCAGTTGTAATTAAGAAATTTTTCCCTAAAAATGATGAATGGTTTAGTCCGGATTGAAAGATGGGCAAGTCCATTTACGATAAGTAGCAGGTAAAGGGTAATGTGTGATGGTGATAATGCATACAAGCATATGCTGATTAATTTGTTAATTTTCATTGATTAAAATGTAAAAAAAAATTGATATTAATTTGTTATGAATTTTTCAGGTCTTGAACCAGAGACTGAGTATGAGGTAAGGATGCTAGCTGGCACATCTGTGGGCTTCAGGGAGCGTTTTCCGGAGGAATTGTGGCCTTGGGTATCAGTGACTACCCTCAGTGATTCCTGTAAGTATTCTATTTCGGTTAAAATAAAGTTCTTTATATGTTTTTATATTGTTTGAAATAAGACTAGGTTTATTTAAAGCAGACTTCAGCTTTTCTACAGGTTAAATATGCTATTTTTAGATAAATTATTTCAAATTATTGTCAAATCAAAAGAATTAAGGTGGAAAATGAAAATTTCCGTCAATAATATACATGAACAATAAAGAACCCCTCTATGTCTTTAATTCTACTGGTAAATTAGTAAAGCAGACAATAGGTATCCCGATCTTCTAAAAATATCTCTCACCCCTCCCCCCTCTTGCACACACCCAAAAAGGAAAAAAAAAATTTCAAAAGAAAACAAAAAAAACACAAACCCTCCGCCCCCTCGAAAAAACGGCAACAAGAGATCTCCCCCCCCCCCCCCCCCCCCCCCCAAAAAAAAAAAAATCCCCAACGGCTTGAAGGTGTGGTTACTTTACCATCTACCATAGTTTCATGTTGAAAGAATGGTTTAAGAAAAAAACAGAACAATACTTTTCTCACATACTTGAAAGGAAGGAAAAACATATCCATAAAATAGTGCTCATTATGTTCATTTTCTAAAGCATTATTTTACACTTTTATCCATATATATATAAGATTTATAGAAGTTTTTACCTACAGCTGTCACAGTGTACAAAACATAACGCAATATGCAGATTTTCCAATTAATATAACGGGGTTCATTTAAATGCCAATGCATTGTGTTAATGAACTAAAAAGTTGTAACAAAACAACATCTGATGGTTGAATACATGTGCATTGTTCACGGTTATAAACATAACATGATCTAGTTGCTGGAAAGTAAATTAGCTTGATGATGGTGATTCAGCTTGGATTGACAGATTGACACATATTTAACTAGGCCCACATAGATACTGTCATCATTGATAGATTGACACTTTTTTAACTGGGCCCACATAGATATAAGGTTATATCTGAACCATTTCTCTTTCTAAACCAAAAACCAAAACAAAACACACATAAAAAGGAAGAAGGAAAAAAACAACCGAAAAACAATAAATTTAAAAAAAAAAGAAGAAGAAAAACAACACCCCCTTCCCCCCAAAAATAAACAACACCAAAAAACCCTCCAAACCCCCTGCCCCCTCCAAAAAACAAAAACAAAAAACAAGAAAAAAATCCCCAATGGCTTTAAGAGGTGGTTACATTGCCCTCTACCATGGTTTCATTATGAAAGAATGGTTTAAGAAAAAAACAAAAACAAAAAACAATACTTTGCTCACATATTTGAAAGGAAGGAAAAACATATCCATAAAATAGTGCTTATTATGTTCATTTTCTTAAGCATTATTTTTACACTTTTATCCATATATAAGATTTATAGAAGTTTTTACCTACAGCTGTCACAGTTGTACAAAACATAACGCAACATGCAGATTTTCCAATTACGATAACAGGGTTCAATTAAATGCCAATGCATTGTGTTAATGAACTGAAAAGTTGTATCAAAACAACATCTGATGGTTGAATACATGTGCATTGTTCACGGTTATAAAAATAACATGATTTAGTTGCTGTAAAGTAAATTAGCTTGATGATGGTGATTCAGCTTGGATTGAAAGATTGACACATATTTAACTGGGCCCACATAAATACTGTCATCATTGATAAATTGACACAGTTTTAACTGGGCCCATATAAATATAAGGTTATATCTGAACCATTGTTTTTCTAAACCAAAAACCAAAACAAAACATACAAAAAAAGGAAGAAGGAAGAAAACAACCAAAAAACATTAAATTTTTAAAAAAAGAAGAAAAACAACATCCCCCCCCCCCTCAAAAGTACAACACCAAAAACCCCTCCACACCCCCTTGCCCCAAACAAAAAAACAACAAAAAAGAAAAAAATCCCCAATGGCATTAAGAGGTGGTTACTTTGCCCTCTACCATGGTTTCAATTTGAAAGAATGATTTAAGAAAAAAACAGAACAATACTTTGCTCACATACTTGAAAGGAAGGAAAAACATATCCATAAAATAGTGCTCATTATCTTCATTTTCTAAAGCATTATTTTTACACTTTTATCCATATATAAGATTTATAGAAGTTTTTACCTACAGCTGTCACAGTGTACAAAACATAACGCAACATGCAGATTTTCCAATTACGATAACAGGGTTCAATTAAATGCCAATGCATTGTGTTAATGAACTGAAAAGTTGTAACAAAACAACATCTGACGGTTGAATACATGTGCATTGTTCACGGTTATAAAAATAGCATGATTTAGTTGCTGTAAAGTAAATTAGCTTGATGATGGTGATTCATCATTGATAGATTGACACACACATAGATATAAGGTTATATATGAACCTTATCTCATTCTAAACAAAATAAATAAATAAAGTAAAAAAAACTTCTTAAGGAAATGGGTTGAAACATCACTCGCTTATTTCAGAGCAACATAGGAGGTCAGTTTTCAAGGCCCATTACTCTTAACACAGATTTTGATAGAATTATGGCCCTTTTTGATTAACATGAAACCTACTGCAGGGAATGGGTTTAAACTTCACTGGCTTATTGAGAGCATTATAAGAAGTCACTTTTTAAAGCCCATAACTTTAACATGGGTTTTGACAGAATTATGACCCCTTTTTAATCAAAGAAAATTCTACATTATCCAGGTTCTTGTTTCACTATTAAGCATTGAGAATAGTTCTTGAAGCTGTCTGTTGACAGCTGTTATTATAAAGCCCTTTATTCAAACATGTTTAAAAGGTTTCATAACAAATTTGATGACAAGCCACAATTGTAAGACAAGGGGAATAATCAGGGAAGGGAAATTTTATTATTAGTTATGTCCCTTTTTGACTTAAAATACTTTAACTTAAAAAATTGGTACATGTAATTGATAGGTGGTGGCCTAAACAGAGGATCACATGCGGTGCGCCGGTGAATTTTAACACCACATGCGATCCCAACTAAATTTTGACACCGCATGTGGTCCTGACTAAATTTTATAACACCACATGTAGTTTGACTAAATTTTAACACCACATGCATTGCCCTTGTGAATTTTAACACCACATGCGATGATCTTGTCAATTTTATGATATTGTTGCAGATATAATCGCCCCAAATGTGCAGATTTTACCTCTCAACAACACTGCTATCAATGTGACCTGGACTTACGCAGATATGTTCTCGGTCAAACAGTTTGTAGTACAGTTAGAGGAAATACCCACCCGTAGTATCCTGAAAAAGGAAACTCTTGCAGCCATTCAAAGATATACCATTTTCTCTCAGTTAGGTAAGAACTTTGCTCATTTTATAGCTATGTTTGTAAGGTTGTTTGCTGTAAATGCCTACTTTGGTCAAATCTCGTTGGTCGACCAACTGGCTTCCAGTGATTACCAGTTTATCTCCAAGTGGCCAAATATTAATCACACATGATGTTATGGTTAGAAAAAAATTCTAAAAGTTTTAACAGCGACGTAATAATCGTGTTAAACCGACCATACTAATAAAATCCTTTGATTTTCAACATTAACTTTGTTTCTTTATGACAAGATATGACATTTTGATCATATTTTGTTGTACTCAAAATAATTAAAACATATCCGAATATGGAATAACTATTTTCCGCTAGGGTTAACATATTGGGATTGGGAAAAAATACATTGTTGAGTACAACTAAAATACAAACAATTGTCATATCTTGTCATAAAAAATCTAAGTTAATATTTAGAATCAATTCAAAAATTTTCCTCTCCTTATTCAAGTACTAACCTTGGTTACCGATTATTGAATTTTCTAACCGGTTTTTTAGGTAAAACCAACGTTACACTATTATAGGGATAAACGTGAAACCCCTATTCAAAAATGCTTACAAAAAACAGCTAGTAAAATTCAGAGGTGTGATATTTGCCAGTACCATGACACCCTATTTTTGAATGAACAATATATTCAAAAATGCTTACAAAAAACAGCTAGTAAAATTCAAAAAACAGCTAGTAAAATTCAGAGGTGTGATATTTGCCAGTACAATGACACCCTATTTTTGAATGAACAATATATATATAAAAAGATATTTGTTTTACCAGATAAGAATGCCGTTTATGAAGTGAAAGTGGTTGTGCACACAATTTATGGCCTGAAGTCTGAAGCTGTTTTTGGAATCATTTTCGAACAAAATGTAAAAAAAACAACAATTTTTTTTGTATTCCAGATAAGAATGCCGTTTATAAAGTGAAAGTGGTTGTGCACACAATTAATGGCCTGAAGTCCGAAGCTGTTTTTGGAATCATTTTCGAACAAAATGTTAAAAAAAAAAATTTTGTATTCCAGATAAGAATGCCGTTTATAAAGTGAAAGTGGTTGTGCACACAATTAATGCCCTGAAGTCCGAAGCTGTTTTTGATATCATTTTCGAACAAAATAAAAAAAAAAAATTCTGTATTCCAGATAAGAATGCCGTTTATGAAGTGAAAGTGGTTGTGCACACAATTAATGGCCTGAAGTCGGAAGCTGTAGAGGAGTTCTCTTCCCTTGACGTATTAAAAGCACCCGGTCCCGTAAACCTGAATGTCGTAACGCGCTCACCTGACAGCATTAGTTTAGAATGGGAGGAACCCACGGCGGATATAGAAATTATGTATTTTACTGTAAGGTATCAGCAAGTGGGAACAACTAACTATAAATTTGTCAACAGGTTCGTTGATTTTTGTGTTTACTGTCCTATTACTGTTTCTTATATATTGTAAGATTATGAGGCGGGTAACTGTTTATACTAAGTATGTTACAGACTGCTATTAATCTATCCTATGTTTGAGGTTGCTATTATGCTAATCTATGTCAGCTAGCCACAAGTGAGACTTCAATCAAGGTAGGGGAATCTTTGGCCAAGTTGTTATGGTTCTTGACTTTAAACCACTGCCCCTTACTGCTGTGGGTTCAAATCCCAACAGGGACTTCGAACTCATTCATGCGAAGAAGCTATTCAGATCGCTTATGGGACATCTGTGGTTCTTCATTGGGTGATCGTTCGTGTCTGAAACTTTGCAGGGAAGGCAAGCTGGACTGACGCCATATGACCTATGCTGTGTTGGTGTGACTTAAACCCTACAAACAAATGAAGGTAGCCAACGGATGAGATCACAATCAAGGTAGCTTAAGTATATGGCTGGTATTTTGTTCGACCTACCTGTTAAACTTCTTCTCACATAGTACACATGTAAGTCATTTATAAAAGCCAGACTATGTGTAAGACCAAAATCTTTAACTCTCTGCTATTCTCTAGGGCTAGGAGGGGTTGGGGGGAGAGGTTGGGGTCATTGTTTACAATTCACAGATGTCTAATATTCTATGTACTTAAAGGTCACTGTATAGTTCAGGTATTAAAGTCCTTATTATATTTATTTACAGTAATACAAACAGTGCGCTGTTAGAGAATCTGAAACCGTTCACAGAGTACGAGATCTCTGTGCGTGCAAACGGCGAGAAACTAGTGAGTGAATATAGTGACACACTGAAAGTATACACAGAATCAGGACGTAAGTACATCTATGTTTCAAATACAGTTACGTAAGATTGTGAACAAGCAGAGCATTTCGCAGCCTAGTGGTCATGGTTTCAGCCCCTCAACCCAGGGATACTGGGTGTGAGCCCAATTAAGCTCACAGCCATGTTTTCCTCATAGTTATAAAACTTAGCCTCAAGGTTACAAATTTTTAATTTCTAAGTTCTGTTTCAAATCTAAGGATTTTCATTGGTCAGTGTATATTCTGTGGCAGGTTCTGACCAATCAGAATACTGGAAATGTTTGAGCTTATAACCTCAGACCTTGTACTGGATAGAGGATAGTTCTAGGAAGCAGACTGGAGAGTGGTTCAAATTAGTTTAATTTAGTCAGACATGATTAATAATCTTTGATGATTTTATGTTATTGTGACAGATCTCATTAATATGGCGTAATTAAGGATTTTTTACCCCTCACAGCTGTGTTTGTCATCAAGTAGATTAGAAAAGTAAAAAGAGTCAGATTACTAAAACAAACAATGCACTATGAACCAACTTACACTGGATTTGTAAACTGTTGTTAAAATGGCTCAACTTCAGATGTGTTTTTAAATTTTGTTGTAGAAACTGATTTTTTTTTCATCTTCTGTAACAGAGGCTTGTTAAAGGCCATTTCCCAAAGAAAATTTTCTTTTAAATCATACAGTTTGTCCAAAAAATCTGAATTTACACCAGCTTGTTTACTTCTCAACAGATCAATTTCAGTGATAATTATTCCCAAAATCTACAGTCCAAGGCCTTTTTTCAAATAAAATGAGTAAATGAGCCAAACTCTTTGGTAGAGTGGTAAAGGTGACACAATTTTTGCCCCTCACCTCAGTTAATTAGAATCCTGACATGAACTTGTGCTATTACATTTGAAGACGCTTTCCAGCTGGCTTATAGAGGGTTCAGTGGTTGTACTCTGGTGCCAGTTTGTTCCTGAATAATATATAGAGAGAGGCATGTTAGGCCCTTTGTCTCCATCAAATACTAGTATGGTATGTCCTTCCGAAAGGCTGAGCATTGATAGTGTGATGTAAAACCCCTACAAGTTCTTTCTGCTGTAGGTTTGAATCCAGCCAAGGACTTTGCATTGTTTTCCTGTTTAAAAAGATATCACGAGGAATGTTTTATATTTAATGGGCATGCTCATGGCTGTTCTGATAACCGGAGGGAATTCTGAGGTCTTTCTTTGCCAGTTTAGCTTGAAAGTCACGAGATTGCCATTTCATTGTGACAGTGTGTATTACACAACAAGAAAAATGAATAAATGAAAAATAGAAAAGTAAAAAAAGTTTAGATAATAAGGTTGTATTTGTACCACTTTTCCAGTGCCTTCAGAACCATTGAGTGTACAAATACAGACTGTAAAGCCTGGAAAAATCCTCGTAAACTGGCTCCCTCCGGCACAGCCCAATGGACAGATTAAGTCTTACACGATAATGTACACGGACGTGCCCAGTGAGACTGACGATTTGTGGATTCGTGTGGAGAAGAACGGTTCAGAAAACAGTGCTCAGATCACCATCTCTGATACATCTGGGCAACTGTATTACTTCAAGCTTCACGCAAGCACCGATGTTGGTGCGGGGAAAACCACTCCGCAATTCCCTGTCAATCCGTCGGAAACTGCGACACGTTAGTTATTACATGATTCTATAGCTTGTGTTAGACTTTCAGAAGTAGCGAATATTTAAGAGTTGACTTGTCCCACACATTTAAGAAGTCTCTCTGACCTTAGAAACAGAATATTTGAGTTTCACCGCAAAGTAATATGTGCTTGTAAACTTAAAAAACCTGGATTTCAGCTCCTGATTATTTTTCTCGTGTGTTCTGTATGTATAGTTTGATATGGTTTAAATTTTTAAGGAAAATTGTTGCTTAAATTTAATAATCAGCTTTTCTGATGAGCTGTTCTTACCAGTTTACAAACCAGTGTATGACTAACAATGCTTCATACATGTGAACTTATTTTCGATGATCAAGTCGGAGAATTTTCGTCAAAAAGAGGGAGATTTTAGAATTTGCAATAAATAAAGAAGAAAGGTCTGACATCTAAAAAGAGGGAGATATCTTTAATTTTTAGCTCACCTGTCACAAAGTGACAGGGTGAGCTTTTGTGATCACTTTTCGTCCGGTGTCCGTCCGTCCGTCCGTCGTCCGTCCGTCGTCCGTAAACTTTTTCTTTAAATGACATCTCCTCATAAACCACTAAGCCAATTTCATCCAAACTTCACAGGAATGTTCCTTTGGTGGTCACCTTTAAAAATTGTTCAAAGAATTTAATTCCATGCAGAACTCTGGTTGCCATGGCAACCGAAAAAAAAAACTTAAAAAATCTTCTTTTAAAAAACCATAAGAGCTAGAGCTTAGATATTTGGCATGAAACATCTTCTAGTGAGTGTCTACCAAGTTTGTTCAAATAAAAGCCCTGGGGTCAAAATTGGCCCCGCCCCGGGGGGTCATTGATTTTCCCTATAGGCATATAGTAAAAACTTAAAAAATCTTCTTTTAAAGAACCCAAAAAGCTAGAGCTAAGATATTTAGCATGAAACATGTTCTAATGGGTGTCTACCAAGTTTGTTCAAATAAAAGCCCTGGGGGTCAAAATTGGCCCCGCCCCGGGGGGTCATTGATTTTCCCTATATGCATATAGTAAAAACTTAAAAAATCTTCTTTTAAAGAACCAAAAGAGTTAGAGCTAAGATATTTAGCATGAAACATGTTATAATAAGTGTCTACCAAGTTTGTTCAAATAAAAGCCCTGGGGTCAAAATTGGCCCCGCCCCGGGGGTCATTGATTTTCCCTATATGCATATAGTAAAAACTTAAAAAATCTTCTTTTAAAGAACTCAAAGAGCTATGGCTAAGATATTTAGCATCAAACATGTTCTAATAGGTGTCTACCAAGTTTGTTCAAATAAAAGCCCTGGGGTCAAAATTGGCACCGCCCCAGGGGTCATTGATTTTCCTTATATGTGTATAGCAAAAACTTAAAAAATCTTCTTTGAAAAAACCCAAATAGCTAGAGTTAAGATATTAAGCATGAAACATCTTTTAGTGAGTGTCTACAAAGTTTGTTCAAATAAAAGACCTGGGGTCAAAATTGGCCCCGCCCCGGGGGTCATTGATTTTCTTTATATGTGTATAGCAAAAACTTAAAATCTTCTTTGAAAAAACTCAAATAGCTAGAGTTTAGATATTAAGCATGAAACATCTTCTAGTAAGTTTCTACAAAGTTTGTTCAAATAAAAGCCCTGGGGTCAAAACTGGCCCCGCCCCAGGGGTGTCATTGTTTTTAACTATATGTGTATAGTAAAAACTTTAAAAAAATCTTCTTTTAAAAAGCCCAATGAGCTAGAGCTTAGATGTGTAGCATGAAACATCTTCTTATGGGTGTCTACCAAGTTTGTGCAAATAAAAGCCCTTGAGTTAAATTGGCCCAGAAACATTGGGGGGGGGGGCTATATACAGGTGAGCGACCTCAGGGCCATCATGGCCCTCTTGTTTGTAAATACCCCTTATTTTAAGAAAAATCTTAGAAAATATGGCTTGAGAAAGTGGGAATCTCCTGCTAAAAGTGGGAGAGTTCACATGTATGATGCCTATATTTAAGCCACTCTTCTTTTTAACTTGAATATTTGAAGAATAGTTAGCTCGACTTAAGAATAGGGAGAACTATAATAATTTGTACTTATCCGGGTGTCAGCATCAGTGTCACCGTCACGCTTTAAACAAATTTTCTTATACCCACGAAAGTTGTATCTTCACAAGTCATGCTCTTTGAGCTCTTTAAGATAAATTTTTAAAAAATTGTTTCTTCTTAGTGAGATACATATGATATTAGTGAGATATAATATGATATCAATCAAAACAAAATATTGTGTATATATATTACAGCTGGAAGTAGTGCCGACAGTAAGAAGGAAGATAAGAAGCTCGGAATCATCATTGGCATTAGCATTGGTGTATTCTGCATCATCATCTGCGTAATCATTATCCTGCTGCGACAAAAGTGAGTCCCAATTTTTAGTTGTCCGATACCTGCACAGAATAAATTTTGTTATGACAAAGTTGAAGTTTACTGTGTTAGTGGTCTGATACCTGGTCTGAACAGAACTAACAAAGCCATTTCTCTTTACATCTTTTAAAAAAGGTGTTTGATATATAAACAGAAATTAGTTAGAATTAACTTTTAGTGGTCTGATACCTAATCTGAAACTGAATTGAGTGAATTTACAAAAATATTTTTAACTTCTGAAGTAGATCTGGGTAGGAAGTGTTGCTGCAGAGATAAAAAAAATTAGTATGAAAAAAATTTGTATTTGATAAAGAAATCTAGACTAATCCAAATAGACTTTTCCCAGCTAAACCAGGGGTAAAACAAACTTTAAAACAACTTTTTGCAGTTACAGCTTTGAATATAAGCGCAACAGGTTGACTAATCTGTCACTAACAGGTAGTGTGCTTGTACCCAAGAATTAGCTTTAAAACACCCACATTTGCCTGGTTTCCGATAAAATCTGTTCAATGTAAACAACCTTCATCAGTTTAAGATAAAGCCCCCCTTTTATGTAGTGTAACTGCAATGTAAATTCCACTGTTGGCTGTTGTTAACTGAGGTATGAAACGATAGAACTAGGTTAACTACGGCAATTAAACCACATGAATGACACCAAGTTTCAATATTGGTTGTACATGTATATTGAAAATGGAAGCGGTGGCCTTGTAGTTAAGGCATCTGCGTCTCAATCCAGGGATCTTTGGTTCAAGCCCAACTCTGGTGACCACCATGTTTCTTCATATGACACCAGTACTGGTTGGTTCCTGGAAGTGGACTGGAAAGTGATTAACATAAGTTGCAAAAACTTGTTTCGCAATCGAACTTGAATAAATGTGTTAAAACCTCATGTTGATATTGCTTTTGGACTTTTATTCACTGTTTTTGTTTACACGTATTTTATTAACGTACTTAGATGTTATGGAAGTAGCAACAATCAGCAGCCTCAGACACAGCCAGCTCGTTACCACGGCAACGGACATATCCCAGGCAATGGTAACGGTCACGCCATCTACATGCAAGAGAGTCACGCGACGGTTGGTGGGGTGCTGGAAATGGACGCGTACACCCCAATGCTGAATCATCTCCCGGAGAATGAACAATCCGACTCAAAGGTAATGTCAAGTTGTTAACTATGTGTATCTGTAAGTTAGCCAAAATCATTGAACAAACAAAAAGCAATAAGTCGCTGCATGAGTGTTAAACAGGCCGGAGTAGTAATCACTGGATTGCTGCCTGCGTGGGTTCAGACTTAACCAGGGACAAGCCATTGTTTACTAGAGCAAGCCATTGTTTCCTGGAGCAAAGCATTGTTTCCTAGAACAAGCCATTGTTTACTAGAGCAAGCCATTGTTTACTAGAGCAAGCCATTGTTTCCTAGAGCAAGCAATTGTTTCCTAGAGCAAGCCATTGTTTCCTAGAGCAAGCAATTGTTTCCTAGAGCAAGCCATTGTTTCCTAGAGCAAGCCATTGTTTCCTAGAGCAAGCCATTGTTTATTAGGGCAAGCCATTGTTTCTTTGAGCAAGCCATTGTTTCCTGGAGCAAGCAATTGTTTCCTGGAGTAAGATACTTTACACTGATGGCTTACTGCTGGTTGGTTACAGAAATGGGTTCGAGAGTGTGTCTATAAGCTTAATGCTTCCTTCATTATCGAAACTGAAATAAAAATTTGTTATGAACTAAAAATCATTGTTTATGTTGGCATAGTAACAAAGCAGTGGCACAAATGTACCGGACTCAATTAGCTCAGTAAGGCAAGTATTAGATCCATGAATTCAAGAGTTGTGAGCTCGTGTCTTGAGTCTGTAGAATAAAGCATATTGTTCCAGATTAAAACCTATTGACAGGTTAACTTTAATTAAAAGGCATTCTTTTTCCCGAACTGAAAGCATAAAATTAAGCTTGGAAATACAGTTTGCCGTGCTTACATTATAATCTTAATACAGTTTTAAAGGACCACCTCCAATAAAAGATCACAATGTAAATAAAGGCCACACTCTTATAATTTATGATTGATTAAAAAGAACACGATAACCTGCAAATTAAGACCACTTGTATATAAAGGCCATGTTTGCTGATGAACTTTCTTCACAGGATTTACTGTATATTTCTTTGGCAATCACACACACACACATTTATATATAATACATACATGTATTTATTTAACGGCTGTTCAAATGCAGTGTTACAAAATATTCTGCAAAAAGGTTTTTACAAAAAAGTGCAAACAGTTCAATAGCAGCATTTGTTGCATTGGAAAACTCATTAACATGGATAGATGTATTGACATTGACAGCTGTATGACACAATTTATCTAGGGATTGTTTAATGCTGAACAAATTTCAGTAAATTCTAGTTAAAATGTACTTTTCAAATTTCTTGGAAGTGCATTTTTTTCCCCAATAGAATGAAATGTAACATTTGGTGTTAAAATATTAAGGTGCTATGTACGTTGTATATATATATATATGTGCATAGTTAAGATAAATATGTAGAAATTGCAGACCTAAAAACGATTAAATTAATTAAAGATTGATATGACTGGAACCAGGTAATCACTCTTATAGGCATATATAGATAAATTGATTGTGTCTAGTGCCTGTGGCTGAGTTTAAAACCCCACCAAAAATCTTAAAATAAGGACCCTGACATTTTGTATACTTGGAAACAATTTGTGTAATAATATGAGCCGCGTCACGACAAAACCAACATAGTGCGTTTGCAACCAGCATGGATCCAGACCAGCCTGTGCATCCGCGCAGTCTGATCAGGATCCATGCTGTTCGCTTTCAGTTTCCCAACTTGTAATTGAGTTGGTAAGCGAACAGCATGGATCCTGATCAGACTGGGCGGGTGCGCAGGCTGGTCTGGATCCATGCTGGTCGCAAACGCACGATGTTGGTTTTGTCGTGACACGGCTCATTTGAGGTTGGTATTTTTCAGGGCGGCGGAGATAGCAACGTCATACTGACGCCTAATGGAGCAAAGTTAAACGGGTTTCCATTGAAACATAATGGTATTTTGAATGGACAGATCCAGAATGGTCACATGACCTCCCTTCTTGACAGCCAGTATAAGGTAGTTGTTTTAAATTTTTGTCATGTTTTTCGTCGGAGATGAGGTAAAAAATAAATTAAAAAATAAAAATCTTTCATTAGGAAAATGAATAAAGAACTAAAAGACATATTTAAGATATATTTTGCTCATCTTTGAAGAATGAAGGTTGCTCATCTTTGAAGAATGAATGTGTTCACACTTTGGGAATACAGAATACATGGTTTGTGTTGGAATGAGGAAGGTTTTTTCCAGTGAGGGAGACAGTGTACCCTGATGAGCTTTAGCATTTCTAAGGCAATAATGTGCCTTTAAGCTTGATATATATACACATTTAAGTTTTGGAAATAATTAATTATAACAACACTTCACTTGTAAAACGTGATTGAATAAAATTGACTTTTTTCTTTCAACACCATATTTCTGCCCTGTTGCAAAAGGTGTTAGAAATATTTAACTAGTTTAACGAGGGTAAAAGATTTTACTCATTTCCCCTGCTTTTAGAGGTAATAGAAAGTATATGTGACAGGGTAGCCGGACAGTATCTTAAGTACTCGTCTATTAAAAACCAGATTAACTTTAGATTCTTTTATTAAAGACACATAATGTCTCGGAAACAAATATTTCTTCCTTCTTAGAAGCAAACACAAGTATTTTTATAATGTTTAAATAATGGTTTAAAGTTGTGTTACTGTAATGCTTTTACTTACCTCGGCCAATATTGTAACAAATCGGTGATTTCAGGAACATTTTTTTTTTCATAATTTTCAGTATTCAATATATTTTTAACGGTTTATACAGTGAAAGTTGAGAAAACCGGACGGCTTTCGGACCGAGGGTTTTGTCCGGTTTTCTCAGCGGTCCGGTATTCTCAATGTCCTCTTCAGCTGTTCAGGATCATATAAACCGAGCAATGACTTACAAATGATGCTGAACGTATATTTGCATTTTCATGATTATGAGTAAGTAAATTGCTAAATAAAGAAATGAAGAAATGATAAAAATTCTATACAATATGTTTTAATTGTTTATGTCTCATTATCGCATATAAATACAATAACATTTTGGATTTAAACGAACAGCAGTTACCTCGAAAAAGTCCGATTACACCCGCATATGTTTACATTTTGGTAATGGATAATGATTTAACGAACATACATGTAGTTTACTTTGTTTGTTTATAATAATTCCCCAATTGTAAATATTACCTAAACCATATTTGTCAGATAAAGATTTTTAAAGTAGGTCTCGGCAAAGTTTCACTGTTTTTAATTAATTTAAATTTGTCACTTATAGACAGCTCTCGTCAACTGATTATAACTTATCAATTCCTCGTGCATTTTGGCAAGATTATTCACACCTTCGTCGTCCGGTATTGTCAGGGTAATTGTCTATATAATTGACTTTGTAGTCCCCTATCAACCGTCCGATATTCGGTTTTTACAGATTCCGGTATTGTCAATGTTTAATTCAATAGTTTAAAGAAGGGAAAATTTGGGACTGAATTATTTGTCCGGTATTTAGAGAGTTCCGATTTTCTCAGCGTCCGGTTTTCTCAAATTTCACTGTAATTGGAATTTAAACAAAAATGTCAAAATTTTATGACAAATTTTAAAGTGTTGGTTTTTTCTAACAGTAATCTTTTGTCTAGACGAAAGTTCAGTTTTCTTTACTATAAGGTTTTGAACTAATATTTTCTTACATTTCAGCAGGAGAAGAGTGGCCTGCTTGCGGCAATGATGTCAGGAGGTCACGAGCCTTGTATGGCGCACGTCGAGGAGGAAGGTTTTCCGACAAGCCGTTCGGAAGACTTTGGATCACTAGATAACATTGATACGGGTAGCTCTGAAGATGTCATTCATAAAATATCGGGAAAGGAGTTAGAGAATAGTGGTGAAGACAGTGGAGAAGGCAGTTTGACTGCCAGTAATAGAACTTCGTCAGAGTACGGCAGTTCTATTCCTCGGTCGGATACAACCGATACTGGTGATACAGTAGTGCATTGTGGGTCATCATCTCGTCATGATACGGGATTAGGTGGCGAGCTGTATACCGGTGAAAGAGACAGAAATGACTTGCCAATCAATATACCTCAGTCGTCGCCAATGTGCGAGGATACATGTCACGATGGCGGGACATCTTTAAATGTTCAGGAATCGCGCGCAGTTTCGGGTTCAGTTTTACCTCATGATGGTGACGTAACGGTATCGTTCTCGCCACCAACCATTGCTACCTCAAATTCACTTTCTCAGGCTATTAGAAAGACTGACACTTCAGGGGCCGGCGAACCATGCCAGGTCGCTCGTAACGAGCATGACACGGCTGTGCCTCAGGTCATTTGTAACGGTTCGCCACCAGGAATTAGTGCGCAGTCAGAAAGGCGACGGCACCCTGCGAGCAATGGTGTCCCGCCTCAAATGTATGCGCCAACAGTGGTGAACAGATTTCCGGTAAATTCAAACGGGATTCCGCCACAAATGAACACTGCGGACAATGTGGTCATTTGCCGACCTCAGGGACATTTTAACAGACTCAGTTCGGCAGAAAACAATCCCAACCAATCACAGACCTCAAACGGGGCGGAAATTTTTGTTGATTCAACAATACCTCAGGAGACAAGGCGGTCAACTAAGCATGACGCGTCGCCTCGCAACGGTCACTTTCAAATTTAACTCTGGAATATTATAAAAATACATCAGACCTCAGATAAATTGCACAAAATTCAGTTGTTTTTTTTTTATTGAACAAAAAAGAAAAAGTTCTTTATTTTCGTGCCGCGTTTACCTCTCTTTAAATGCTGATACCTCATTTTACATATATAAACCTGGAAAGTCTCGTGCATCGCAAAGAGTCGTGACAGTGAGCTCCCTTATATTCAGTGAATTTTATGCGGGTACTTTTAGATAATGTGTTTTTTCTTTTTATTTAGTGTATTGCACATTATTGTAAATCCTTTGTATTGTATGGAAGACATTTTATTGCGAAATACGTGTGAAAGTTTATATATATATATATATACATTAACATATATATATATATGTATATAAATATGTATACAAAGCATCAGAAGTGCTAAGAAAAATAATTATGTTGTTAAGAAATGCAGAGATGGACTGCTAACGTGTATTATTATTAAGCCCAGTGGTTTTTTTTTTTTTTTTTAATATGTATATTGTTATTGGATGGGAATTTGTTTATTTGTTCTACATGTCGTTTGTAACGAATCACCATCTTTGTGCAAAAGTGTTGAAAAGTGTGAAGAAATTTGGGGAAAAAACAAAAGAAAGAAAATTGCATTATGGAAGAAAATTGAAATTTTTTTTTTGGTTTTAATATGTTGATTTATTTTTCCTCTATGCTAAATATTTAGAACAGATTTGCAACATTTGTCAAACTTATTTGATAAATTTCAGAAGAGATTGTTCCTATGAAAGAGAAGGATGATTTTTTAATTTTTCAGAATTAATTGGATATATATTAAAATAAGTTTAAAAAAAAGATCTGATTTTTTTTCACTATCCATGTTTCCATTGGTATATTATTAAAAGATCTAATGAGCTTCTATATGACGTGGAATAACTTAATCATGTCACCTGAATGCTTTTCAAAATTTATTCAGGTAGTGATCAGGAAGACAGATTTGAATAACATCTTTACCTTGAAATATTTATTAGAAAATTGAACTGAAAAATTAGGAAACTTTTAAAGATCTATAGTGTAGAGATTGATCCATATAAAGAATTTAATAATACATCTATATTTTTCTTTCAAATTGTCTAAAGATAAATCTTAATGATGTTACATCTATAGATAATTTTTTCCAAAATATCAAAAAGATGAATTTTAATAGGAAAATCTGAAAGATCTTTGTTATATTCTAGAGATTGATTTATGTAAAAGGTTTTTAATATTACAATATAGATTTTTTTTTCAAATATCGAAAAGATAAATTTTAATAGGAAAATCTGAAAGATCTTTGTTATATTCTAGAGATTGATTTATGTTAAAGGTTTTTAATATTACATCTATAGATTTTTTTTTTCAAATATGGAAAAAGATAATTTTTTGGAAAAAGATAAATTTTAATGGTTCGGGGACTATGTAGAATATTTAAATGACTGTACGTAAAATGTTGATGTCATGTGTTTAAGGCAATGGAGTATTAGTAAGTAGTGTTTTTATTAAGTATTTGTAATATACTGATATTATTTTCTCCCTACTCTTGATGTATTTGAATCTTCATTTGCATAAGAGTTGGTCAGTTGATGAGGCTGGGTTTTCAAATTTTTAAATTTTGCTGCAAGGTGAAAAATTTCCATAAGTAATAAAATGTTCTGGTAAAAAATTTTAATGTTCAGAAAATAGACACTTAAAATAAAAAAAGATAATAAATAACTATTAAATGATTTATTCAAACTTCTATGTGAAACTGATCAACTCTTTGCATCTTGACTGTTCAAATTTATAGAAAGGGAGAGAACTCTAAAAATAGATCTTAAGCTCTTTATGCATTCACATTGTACAAACAGAATGGTGTGTCTTTTATATACCACAAGAACAAACTAAGCGATTGATGGTTTGAAATGAAACAAAACAAAAATTTCTGTTATACATATGAACAGTTTAAGATCTATGTTGAACTGACAATAATCTGATATTCTATAAGATCATCTTTAGTTATGATATATGTGGTCTAAAGATGTTATATATGTGGTCTGTATATTATATATGTGGTATATTATATATGTGATCTATAACTATTATATATGTGGTGAATAGATCATAAACATGTATGTGGTCTTAAGCTTTTATATATGTCTATAGATTATATATGTGGTCTATAGATTATATATGTGGTTTATAGATTATATATGTGGTCTATAGATTATATATGTGGTCTATAGATTATATACATGGTTTATAGATTATATATGTGGTCTATAGATTATATATGTGGTTTATAGATTATATATGTGGTCTATAGATTATATATGTGGTCTATAGATTCTATATGTGGTCTATAGATTCTATATGTGGTCTATAGATTATATATGTGGTTTATAGATTATATATGTGGTCTATAGATTATATATGTGGTCTATAGATTCTATATGTGGTCTATAGATTATATATGTGGTCTATAGATTATATATGTGGTCTATGGTCAGTATCTCATTGAAATTCAAATGCTATTGTTCAGTCAGGTGGTAAGAAAAGTGTGAAATACTGAAAGAACATAAAACTAGCTGGGATAAGCAGGTGAATTACCACATAGATGTATCTTGTTATAAGGTATATCTATATCAGTGTATTTTTTAAACACCTCTTGAATCAACTGTTTAACAGGTTTTGACTAAATAAGGTTATAGAAAATTGGCAATGTACATGTGTGTAATGTATGAGGAATTGAGATCTATTTTTAGAAAAATCTGAAACCGGTGTCATATATCTTTTAGATACATTTAATCAAGGTTACGTTTTTATGAAAATTTTTACGATGTATCTGCTCAAAAGCACGTTTTTTTTTATATATTAAGATTTCAGAGGTCGGAGTTCAAAAGGGGAAAAATTAATCTCCAAACCAAAGTAAAGTTTGGTCATGATAAAGAAATGGATTAATGATTAATCTCTAAACTTAGACTTTTTATTTTCGAGGCAAGGAATGGAGTTTTTAGTAATAAATGTTAAAAAAAAAAAGTGAAACAACATTTACTGTCACAGTAGCCTACTTTACACATCATGTTATTTTTTTTCTCGAGACTAACTTGCAGTTTCGTCTTTTAAAACTTTCGGGACACTAGCACCACATGCCTGGTCTTGGGTTTGAACCCTAATTGGGTCACAACAATGTTGCTTCCAATGGAATGGAGGTATTAAGAAGACTGTAGAGTGGTTAGATTTTTTAGACTTTATCAAATATATGGAAATTGTACCAAATGTCGACCAATTCACTTTAATCTAAAATTTGGCTAGTGCATTTTTCTACTATGAAATACAAGAAGCTATGTGTCACTGGCGAACTTAATAGAGATGTTTGATTAATATTGGAATATGCAGTTGAATTAATTGTTTTAAAGTGTCTAGAGATTATTTTGACAAGTTTGTTGTTTGAATAAATTTTCGCAAGTTGAACTCCACCTCTGTAATCGTTCATTTTTATCTTCTGCAACTATTTTTTTTTTTACAAGGGGTCTTTTTGAAACCCCTTTGAAGAAATCTCGGTGTATTTTGAGTATTTTTTTTTATTTCAGTAAAAAAAAGATGTGAAAATTTCATGTTCATGATTTTACAAGACTGCATTATATAACATTTGGTTTTTATTTTTTGCGTTGTGACAAACATTTCTATGTAAAGAAAATCTTCGAGCATTTTTAAGCAGTGATCTGAGTTTTAAAATATTTTATGCATTTATACGTGTTTTAAAGATCTTTATATCAGCTACTGTTACTTATATGTTTTTAAAATGCTTAAACAAATTTACACTAGAATGGCGGGTTCTGTCACTTTTTAATAAATTACTATAGAGTTTTTAGGCGGAGAGAAATTTGTGACTTTTTAACATGAAAAAAGATTGGGCAGATAACTCTCCTTCTAAAAATTGTTTCTGATAACAGACTGATTACCTCCCTTTTATTAAGATATATTTATCATTATGTATTTTTATGAACACTGTTTTTTTCTGTTTAGCAATCATATGAGCCGCGTCATGACAAAACCAACATAATGGGTTTGCGACCAGCATGGATCCAGACCAGTCTGCGCATCCGTGCAGTCTGATCAGGATCCATGCAGTTCGCTTACCAACTCTATTACAAGTAGAGAAACTGAAAGCGAACAGCATGGATCCTTTTCAGACTGCGCGGATGCGCAGGCTGGTCTTGATCCATGCTGGTTGCAAACCCATTATGTTGGTTTTGTCATGACACGGCTCAATTATGTTACAATGTTTTATGATTTTATTTTTTATGTCTTACAAGTGAGAAATCATCTTAACATGAATATTATGTGATGTCAAATGTTTCTTGATTGAATCTTTAGAAAACTAAACTATTCATTTCTCTTGAATGTTAGGAAACTTTACTTTATTTTCCTTTATTTTTTTGACCCAAAATCTTTTAAATTTTTTAATTTATTTGACCAACAATCTTAAAAATACTTTTTCTTTCGATTTTTTTCGAAATTTTATTTAAGTGAAGGCAATATGGGCAAGGTAATAGATGTTTTGAATCAATACCACAAAATGTGCGTAATAAGTGAATGGAAATTGAAGAAAAAACAAACAAAAACAATTCTGCCAAAAATAAAAACAGCTGCCCAGTTTTGTATGATTATTTTATATGTATAGAAAAATTAAAGCACAAAAGCTGGTAAAAAATTTCTTTTCTATTGTCATACTGTATACATGAGCCAGAGCACAAAGTGGTCAACCTTTTCTGTGTCATGTGATTCTATCATATAATAAGTATTTGTAGGCATGAAATGGCGTGGTTTTGTCACAAAGACCATTTCAGTGGTTTCGTTAATTCGTGGACTGAATTTTCCAAAAAGTAAAAATGCAACGCAAAATAATCTTACTGCTACTGAAAGAAAAGTTTGTTGGTTTTAGAATTTCAATTGTTTGTGAATTGATCTGTCCATGAAAATTAGTTTCCCACAATTAATAATGATTTTACTGTAATCATCTTTTAATTAATTTTTTTTTTGAAAATTTTTCGAACTTTACTTTTTGAGTCATCGTCAAAAGAAGGATTTAAAATTTGGATTTTACAGTTTTACAATCTTTTATTTTTGGGTGATTTACTTGTGTAATATTCTTAAATAATTTTTCTTTTCATTTTCTTTTTTCTTTGGTCACCGAAGGCTCTAGGTTTTTTACTTGAATGTGTGTAAATTATAACAGACTCAGTATGATATAGATTTAAATTGATGATTTTAATGATATAAATAATAATGAATGACAAAAAAACAACATTTTCTGTTTGGTTTCTTTCTGAATTTATTTGTTTAAAATCAAACAACAACTAAAAAAACTACACCATTCTTTGACTTTAATTATGATCATTTTTTCAATCATTATTTTCCTCTTTGAACTGAAAACAAGTCTGTAAGTGTGATTTGTCTGAAAGGTGCTTCGGTAAATGATCAGTTTATTGTTTGATTTTTAAAGACTGTAGCATATGCACTTTAAGAAGTCATGGTTCCCATTTTTAACATAACCAGCTCTGGGCATTTAATTTAGGCTTCGGTGCCAGGCTTCAAGTAGTTCTGATACAGTGGTATTTATAAACTTAAAAAAAAGGAATTTGTTTGTTTCTCTCGGGATCGGTTCAATGGTAGGAAGCCACTTTCTGAGATAATGTGTAAAAGTCGGTCACACTTATGTGAAAGTCGGTCACACTTATGGATAAGAATAATGGCCATTATTGTGCATACCCTGCTGGGAGTTACTTATGGATAATACCAACGTAGTCGTAATTATACCCCCACAAACGAAGTTTAGGGGGGTATATAGGAGTCAGCTTGTCGGTCGGTCGGTTGGTCGGTCGGTCCGTCGGTCGGTCCACATCATGGTTTCCGGACGATAACTAGAGTTTGGAATGAGGTATTGTAATCAAACTTGGTATATAGCAACCTTAAGGAAACTCCGGTTGGTATTGCATTTGGACCCCCTGGGGTCAAGGTCAAGGTCACCGTTACTAAAAATAGAAAAATGGTTTCCGGACAATAACTAGAGTTAGGAATGAGATATTGTTATCAAACTTTGCGTATAGCAAGCTTATATGAAGACCTGGGTTGGTATTGCATTTGGGCCCTCTGGGGTCAAGGTCACTGTTACTAAAAATAGAAAAATGGTTTCCAGACAATAACTTGACTTAGAAATGACATACTGTAATCAAACTTGGTGTATAGCAAGCTTATATGAAGACCTGGGTTGGTATTGCATTTGGACCCCCTGGGGTCAAGGTCAAGGTCACCGTTACTAAAAATAGAAAAATGGTTTCCGGACAATAACTTGACTTAGGAATGACATACTGTAATCAAACTTGGTGTAAAGCAAGCTTATATGAAGACCTGGGTTGGTATTGCATTTGGACCCCCTAGGGTCAAGGTCAAGGTCACCATTAGGAAAAATAGATTAATGGTTTCCGGACAATAACTAGAGTTAGGAATGAGATATTGTAATCTAATTTGGTGTAAAGGAAGCTTATATGAAGACCTGGGTTGGTATTGCATTTGGACCCCCTAGGGTCAAGGTCACCGTTACAGTGTTACTAAAAATAGAAAAATGGTTTCCGGACAATAACAAGAGTTAGGAATGAGATATTGTTATCAAACTTGGCGTATAGCAAGCCTATATGAAGACTTTGGTTGGTATTGCATTTGGGCCCCCTTGGGTCAAGGTCACCGTTACGAAAAATGGTTTTCGGACAATAACTAGAGTTAGGAATGAGATATTGTAATCTTATTTGGTGTATAGGAAGCTTATATGAAGACCTGGGTTGGTATTGCATTTGGACCCCCTAGGGTCAAGGTCACCGTTACAGTGTTACTAAAAATAGAAAAATGGTTTCCGGACAATAACAAGAGTTAGGAATGAGATATTGTTATCAAACTTGGCGTATAGCAAGCCTATATGAAGACTTTGGTTGGTATTGCATTTGGGCCCCCTTGGGTCAAGGTCACCGTTACGAAAAATGGTTTTCGGACAATAACTAGGGTTAGGAATGAGATATTGTAATCTTATTTGGTGTATAGGAAGCTTATATGAAGACCTGGGTTGGTATTGCATTTGGACCCCCTAGGGTCAAGGTCACTGTTACAGTGTTACTAAAAATAGAAAAAAAAGTTTCCTGGAAATAACTAGAGTTAGGAATGAGATATTGTAATCAAACTTGGTGTATAGCAAGCTTATTTCGAGACCCCAGTTGCGATTACAATTAATTGAAATATTTCTTTGTACACAGTTGATAGTTTGTGTTCAAATTTTTCTTCAGACTACTTTTTTTTCAAAAAGTCAAAGTTGTTGGTGGGGGTATTAATCACCTTCAGTGATAGGTCTAGTTTATATTTATCCAAAGGGATTGGTACCAGACTAGAAGTTATCCAGAGGGATTTGTACCAGACTAGAAGTTATCCAAAGGGATTGGTACCATACTACAAGTTATCCAGAGGGATTGGTACCAGACTAGAAGTTATCCAAAAAGATAAGTACCAGACTAGAAGTTATCCAAAAAGATTGGTACCAGACTAGAAGTTATCCAGAAGGATTGGTACACGGTACTGGTAATAAATCAATCCATGAGAGAATCTGCATACAACTGGGAAGTAATTGATTGGGGGATTGTAATCCCCTCGGGGGACTTTAGAGTATTTCTACCTCATTTGTCGCAACTCGTTCCGTTTTAACTCAGGGAGGAAAGCATTTCAGTAGGAGCGAGGAAGGTGACCTAATCTTCATAAAGCTGTACGCCCCCCTTTCTTTTCATCGTATATTATGTATCCCAGTTGTTTGAATGGAGGCTTAATATAACCCTGCTTTCATCAAGGCAAGTCAAATGGGGGGACTTTGATCGTCTTTTACTGCACATTAACATATTGAAACTGACTGTGCCACCAGAATAAAGTCTGACCAGCCTTTACGTCTTGGCTCATTTAATTCAAATTTTCTCTTCTTGATTTCCTTAAAATTGATAGTGGACAGTTCCAAAAAAGTTGGAAAAGTCCATTAAAGACATTCAGAAGGTTATGGGTAGAAATATACAAATATAAACCAAGGGCAGAAATTGTGAATATGAAAAACATGCAAAACATTTTAGAATATTTTAAGATTTTTATAGAAATGGTATCTATAACAAAATGAGAGAAAAAATTCTCCTGTGGAAGGTTTATTTTAAATATAAAATTCAATTTTTCGCATTAGAATATAGCATGGCTGAAATGCCTCTTAAGAAAAAAAAAAAGAATTGTTCACTTTCTTCTCTCTTTTTTCTTTCTGTAGGCAGTTTAACAAATTTTAACATACAGTAGACCAGTCAAAAAAATACAGCATTTCATTGGTTGTAGCTGATGATTAATTTAAAAACCGACCAATGACAGAGCTGTATTTTTGGACTGGTTTACAAATTATTATTGTCTTCTTTGTGTTCATTTGTTGTGTAACAGATCATATGATATCTACCTCGCATTGTTTAATCATTGAAAATATATGAGCCGCGTCATGACAAAACCAACATAATGGGTTTGCAACCAGCATGGATACTGACCAGCCTGCGCATCTGCGCAGTCTGATCAGGATCCATGCTGTTCGCTTACAAACCCTATAACAAGTAGAGAAACTGATAGCGAACAGCATAGATCCTGATCAGACTGTGCGGATGCGCAGGCTGGTCTGGATCCATGCTGGTCGCAAACGCATTATGTTGGTTTTGTCATGACACGGCTCATATATTAATGGAAGCATAACTTGTACATTGAATTTTAAAAGAAGAAAAAAAACATTAGAGTAAAATATGTTTCTTTGTTTTTTATCTTCAAAGATCTGATCAGGAAATGAAACTTGCAAGATAATAGAATGCTAATTGGCATTTTTTTTTTAAATTCTATTTTTTTTTTTTTTTGTAAAAACTGCACTTATAATTAAGTTTTATTTTGCCTCATTATCAATTTTTTTTTTTATAAATCTTCGATTTTTATCATAATGAATTTTTTTGTTATTTTCAGTAGAAATTTATCTTTAGATATGGAATAATTTTATGGTCATTGTATATTTAATATTGATTATTAAAGAAATCATGATTTTTTTTTTTTTTTTTTTTTTGATTTTGACATTAATGTTGTTAATTTGCATAAGTATTAGTGAATTATTAGTAAAGTTAATCTAGTATCTTTAATCACAATACCTTTCATTTTGACAGAAAACATAAATACCGGTGGTTTTTTTACTCGTTACTGAACTGTTTTCATATATTTTTTTATTATGAATGGACCTCTTATTGTTACACTATGGAATAAATTTATTTCGGAATATGACTTTTTCGCACTTGGTGATAGTTTTCAAGGATTTCTATTTTGTACAAAATGTTTTTGTTTTTTTTTAAATAAAACAAACAGTATTTAATGAAAAACATGTTTTTTTTTCGTCATTTGTTTATGAAATATTTGCCAAAATTAAGTTTAAATTTAATTTTTCTCCCTTACAGTATTCTCTTTGAAAGTGTTTATTCCTTCTCTATGAATAGAGATTGTTTTTTTGAAAAGGAAACTTTTTGGAAATAAATCACAGTTGTAGTAAAACACTGTTAAAAATGATATAAATAAGTTATTGTTAAGAATTATTAATGTTCAAGTCAAAAAACTTTTCTTTTTTTTAAACAT